GTCGGAGGGGTGTCTTTTCAAGACCGGCCTCGCAGCAGGGTCTCTCTTGCAGCGGGAACTTCAGGGTTTCCCTGCGTGTAGGTGTGCATCCCCAGCTGTGCCTCAAGATATTTTGGAGCTTTTCCCATTTGCAGTTCGAACAAAGACCAGGGCCGGCTCCGCTCCTGGTGCAGCGAGGTGGGATAACGGCCCCAAAATGGGCTGAGATGCAGCCGAGGGGAAGGAGGGTGGAAGGGAGATGCAGCCCAGGCTCGGCGATGGCTGATGGAGCAACGTTTGGTCAGTCACGCGTGATCCTGACTCCCGCTGCCCCCCCAGCATCCTTCGGGGCAGGCTGGGTTGGCCAGGGTGCGGAGAGGTGACCCTCCAGGGACCGTGCCCTGTGGAGCACATCTTGGGGCTGCCACCAAAGCTGGGGAGAACGTGGTTCCTCTTGCTGGGCGTTAAAATGCAAGTTGGCCAAGTCTGAGGATCTGCAATCCCTGCCTTCCCACTGACTCCATTTCTGGCTATCCAAACTCCATGGGGCTGTGCAAAACCCCATATTGTTTCCATGTGTCGATGCTTGGAGAAGCCAAACAAAGAGCAAATAGGAGAGTTCGCAGCCCTCTGAGCCCCTACTCAGGAAATACGGGCCCTTCTTATCTCCTGAGACACCAGTGAGAAGAAACTAGCTGTTTACTGCCCTTCCCATGCCCCCCTCCCAGTGGGGTCTGGGAAGCAGCTGGCAGTTGGGTCTCCGTCAGAGCCCCAGTGGCATGTGCTCAGCTCCAGCTGGGAGGATGGGCTGTCCAGGCCAAGGCAGTAAGGGATTTCCCTCCCCACCCCCCCAAAAAAACCCCCAGCCTTTCAGCTCTAACCTAAGTTCTTAGCCAGGCAAAAGGGTTTGTTGCAGCTGGCTGTATCCCCCAATGCTTCCAGTACATCCAGAGTGTTTCACGGAAAAGCTTTGCCTGCTACTCAAAGTGCCCTGAAGATCTGGTGTGTGGTGTAAGGATCTTGTTGAAAAGGAAAAGAGAGGAAGAGTGTTCCGTCCAAGGACCGAATGAAAGAGCTGCCAAAGCAGCGGCATTTTTCAGGGTGCTGCTGAGCTTCAGAGTGGGCTTTTAAAGGCTTTTTTTTTTTTTTTTTTCCCCTCCTGCTTTGCTCTTTGCAAGAACGAATTCAGCCTCTTATCTGAGGAATTCCCCCAAATGATCTGCTCTGGTTTGGGAGCTCTTTGTTCCTCTGAAGAGCTGAGCAGCAAACAAATAAACACAAATTCTTCCCTTGGAAGAACGCTGCGTTTTCTACTTGGTGAAAACGAGGCTTCCCTTTTGCATTTTTCAGCCTTGGGTTTATTTTTTTTTCTTTTTATTTCCCTCCCTCCCCCTCCTGTAGCCCAGAGCTCCAACACTTTGCTCTCTCTCCAGCTGCCTAAAATTATTCTGCACCCCACTTGTGCCTTTTGTCTAAACCAGCCTGCTTGCTCTCTTCACTCTGCAGTGGGTTATTTAGTTATCTGTTTTGCTGGGGCAGAAAGTGGCACTAGTTATGACTGCATATTTTCCTCTTCTAAACTACGTTGACAGACTCGCATCTCCTGGAAAGATTTTGTCTATATTAAGATGTGGGGTAATAGGTGGGTGTGAGAAAGAAAATCACAGGGACAGGTAGGAGATGCTGTGGTAGGAGCACAGATTTAATCACGTGGAAGAGAATTTCACGCCTAAAGGCGTTTTTATGTGCATGTGCAAATATTTCTGTGTTTGTATCTGGAACCTCTAAGCCTTAATGAGTAGCACTGCACCATTTGACTCGTGCGTTGAGCTTGGTGAGGAAATACACACGAGGACGTATGTTCTACCATAATGCCCACAGGAAGCCTATAATCCACTTCATTCCTGGTTGCAGATGGTTCCTGTGAAATTGGGATGAGTCAATTTGTCTCCTCAGTTTGCCCACAGGATGGTTGCAAGGGGAAGGGTTTGGGACAGGTCAACTGAGACTTGAGAGCAGAAGCATGCTGGGGGACAAGGGAGCAGGAGGGAGCTGGACTTCACTTTTGAGGTCCCAGACTGAGTTTTGGCCAATGAGGTCACAAATTCCACTTGTGGAAATGCCTTGAAGGCTCTGCAAAGGACAATGACAGGCTGTAGACTCCATGGCTGGGTCCATCCTCCTCTCCTAGATCCAGAAGCAAGGTCCACTGATGTGTATCTCCTGGATCATTTGACTCAACCAGTGGCCCTGTAATCCTGGATGCTGTGTGTAGGTTGTGGCTGCTGCGTTGGCACGCTCAGGTAACTCGGTTTTGTTGCAAGAATGGTTGGCAGACTGATGATCACTGGAAGATGTACGACACAGTCCAGGAAATTCTTGCTTAGGGGTTGTGGTGTTGGCTTTATCTCCCAGGCAGAGCCATCTGGCTGCCCTGATGTGACATTCAGGATCTCCAAGTAACCCGCTTTAATCCATTTCCCTGAAATAATGTTTTTGTTTTCTTCCCCTGCCTCGGCCATGGCTGCTCAAGTCATTCCTCAGAGTACGACTGTTATTTTTTCTCAATTTTCCTGTAAATAGCTTTTCTTTTCCTGAGAGAAACACTATTAAGAAGAATCTCAAGAGGTCATGCAGCCCTGCAGTAGAGTGGGACAGCTGCTGACCAATATTTGTCCAACTCGTTCTTCAAAATACTCCATGACAGGGACTGCTGAGCCTCAGCGGGCTGTCCCGGTGCTTCACTGACTTTAGGATAAGCTGTTTGTGGTGGGGCTGAAAGAGGTGGGAGCTGGAATAAAGCTGCCTTGCATTTCCCATCTTGGATCAGCCCCCACTCTGTTTTGCATCCTGTAAACAGAGAAGCGAAAGGCAATGCCTTGTGGAAGGGCTTGCTGTCTGAGTTCTCAAAAATCAGAGCCCGTGAAGCATTGGGAGCAGACCTGATTTGTCTGCGTATGTAGGTCAACAATTGCAGTGTGGATGTGATGTTCTTATATGCAAAATACACAGAAGTTCATTCATCCACTGCAAAGTGCATTCGTCCCTGCTGAGTCACCAGTCCAGACTGTTTCTGCAACCATTTCCCACCACTGAGTTCTATTTTCCTATCTTTCTTGAGCAGACCCGAAGGATGAGGGATGGGAGCTAGCTGGTGCAGTCCATCCTGCTGGTGCAGGGTAGACCATTTTAGGGGACCTGCCGTCGAGAAAGGCATGCTATTTTTGCTATCCCCCTGCTCCAAATTAAACACAGTTGGTTGCATGTGCTGCCTTCGTAGTGCTGTGACTCCCTGGGTAGTGGAACGGTGCAAATCCTTGCAGGTCCTGCTGCATTGCTGAGCTTTGTCTAGCTGAGAAATCGTTTTTACCACGTGCGCTATCTCAAGCATTGCCTGAGGCTTGTGCCCTGTTGCCAATGGCAGGTCACGGAAAGCCTGAGCCCGTGGGTACGCCTGGAGCATTTGCTATCAGTGTCTATGGTAGCTGAGCTGAACAAGCCCAAATCTCAGGCTCCAGGTTGCAGGCCTGAACTTGCCTCTGTTGTTGAGTTTCAGGTTGGCAGCTGTAGCTTCAACCCGCTCTTGCTGCAAACAAGGGCATGCCATAAAGTGCCAGGGTGACCTGTGGTTGCATTGAGGCTTCGGGGGGCAGCTGATCCTGCCAAGAGCTCAAAATGTGTCCCTTATGCTTGAGCTCTTCACTTGGCCAGGTTTTGGGGAAAAAACGTATCACAGATTGATAGGCTGGAATAGCAAGCGTGGCTGTGGCCAGATGCGGTGTGTCTGGTGTGTGCCGTGTGTCGGAGGTGGGGACCACCAAGCACCCCTAACTAAGGTGTGCTTTTCCCTTGCAGCTCACACGCTCATCTGCTTTTCGTGCTCGGATGCATCCTCCAACTGGGCCTGCCTGAAGCCTGTCAAGTGCGGGGAGAATGAAAACCACTGCGTGACGACGTATGTCGGAATGGGAATCGGTGAGTGGTGACAGGCCCTTCTCCTGCCCCTCTTGGCTGCTCTCCTGGGTCACCTGCTGAGCTGCAGGAAGGTTTTCCTTCCTTTGGCTGGGAGTAGGGGAAAGTGCTTTGCAGGCGACTGTCAAGACCATCTCAAGGGAATTTTTACAAGGCACATGCTACCAGACAGAGTCACGTCAAAGCCCACATGTCTGCACCAACGCTGGGAGTCCAAAGGGAATTTTGGTGTGGGGGTGGGCAGGTTGCTGATGAATAAATGCGAGAGTGGAGGATACTGCAGGCTTCCTTTGTAGGAAAGCTCCAGGGTTGCCCTTCCTGCTTTTGACCAGTGTTTGGGTGGTTCATCACTGAGTCCCACTGTTTCTTCGCTCTCTGTGAATGAGGTGGGGTTGCCAGGAAGGGAGATTTGCAAGTTTCCTCCTGAAGAGCCACAAGAGATCTAGGGGGTGTCTGTGCTTCTCAGTTGCTGCTTCCAGGGAATCAAGCTGCTTTGGCAGGTGTCCTGGCACCGTTGCAGAGACCAGAGCCCAGCCTAGCTTGCCTTTCTCTCCCTTGCAGGAGGGAGGGGTGTTGCATGCCCAAGTTGCATGATCCGCAGCGTGGGCAGGTCGTGCATGCACAAACGGAGGCCGTGAGCTTTTACAAACCTGTCTTAGCACAATGCTAATGGTTTCCTATTTCCTGCTGCTAAATGTGTGCTGTGCCTCTCTCACAGCCGATGCTCAAAACAGCCTTCCCTCATGAGTCCCTCCCTGGTGCTCTGTATGCCCCGTGCTGCCTGTCTCGCTTGAAAAGTCTCAGGGTCAAGCTCGAGTGGGATTTTTGAGATTCTCCACTGGAGCTGTAGCAGTCAAATTTTGGCCAGCAACCTGGAAGGAGTGTCCCTCGGTTGTGGCACAGTCTCTAGGGTCTGTGTGGGAGGTTATGCTGGGTGTTCCTTCAGATGTGTGGGCTGGCTGAGATGACTGTCGTAGCCTGACGCCGAGAAGCACTTCATCCTCTCCATGACACCTGTGACGCATTGGCTATTTCATTACTGTTATTTCCTTTGCAGAACAGGTGATCAGAAAGCTGAGAAACATTCTAAACCCATTTCCTTTTTGCTTTTCTTCCTCTTCTCCTGCCCCAACCTACATTCAGGCAGCAAATCTGGCCAGTCCATCTCCAAAGGATGCTCTCCCATTTGCCCCAGCGCCGGGATTAACCTTGGCATAGCAGCTGTCTCGGTTTACTGCTGCGACTCCTTCCTCTGCAACATCAGCGGCTCCAGCAGCGTGAAAGCCAGCTACGCGGTCCTGGCCTTGGGGGTCCTCGTTAGCTTCATCTATGTCCTCAGGGCTCGCGAATGATGGGGGTGGCCAAGGAAGACCCGTCTTCCGCAGGCCATCACAGGTCTCAGTAGCCAGTATCCTCTCTGTTGCTGTCTGCAAGGAGATCTTCTACTTCTCAGCAGGCTTCCAAGGTGGTTGTTTCCCAGACTTTATGATCTTCCAGCACTGGAGACCTGGGCGGTTTGGCCAAGCTGTTCTCCTCCTTCCGTGGACATACCCCACTGCACTACTCACACCTCCTTGGCAAAGGTGGATCGTTTTGGAAGGGTTTCTGCTTTTATATCTAATATCTTCCCCGCTCGTTTTTAAGGTTGATTAAAACAAAGCTGGGACTCGTTCAGAACCGTTTAACCCCAGATACTACCCGGTCAGGTGTTCAGACGTTCCTGCCTCTTGTCTCCGTGGAGGTGCCTGGCACTGGCGTGCCCCCAGCACATGGGTGGGCCAGGCACCGGGAATGCAAGACCCAAAGGGACACACATTCCTGGCCCCTGCAGCTGCAATCTCTTTTTATAAAATGGTGTCGTTTCAGACTTATGACGTGTACCTTGTCCCTCCGAGCTCTGTAAGTGCCAGACCTGAATAAACATGCTCCTGTTGTTACCTGAGATGGGACGTGTGCTGTGTGTGTTTCCTTGCTGCAGACAGAGAGATTAGAAATGCTCTTAGAAGAAACCCAAATATGCCTGGCATGAGGGCCTCTTCCCCTCTCAAGCAGCTTTTGAGTGCTTCATCTCAGCATTCCTTCCAGAGCAGCAAGTCCATCTTCTCCCTGTCCCAGTCCTTTTTGATCCCTGGGACAGCTTGTTTCACCGCTCCTGAGAATCGCTTTTTCCAGGTGCATTTTAGTGAAAGGTGTTGGTTGCTGGGGTCTGAGTCAACCACATTACTCCTAAGAGAGCAAGTGCACTGGCAACAGGACCTCTGAAAATCAGTCTGCATATTACAAAGACTTGGTGCCTCGATTTCCCCACTTTGGACTTATGATGGTGATAGACAATAACATCGATAACTAAATGATCCAGGGCAACAGGTCTGTTTGCGAAATTTAGTGAAGTCAGAGGCAAAGGTATCAATACTCAGATCATTAGGTTCAACCTGTTATCCCTGATGGTGCACGTGGACTGCAGAAGGTGACTTCACCACCCAACCTGACACTCCTGCTGTCTCTCAGGATCTTCCCAGGTCTTTCGGCAGCATCACTTCTGGAAATCCTCGGCTGTCCCATGAGAAATGTGTCCTCCTGCCACCTCTGCATTGTGCTGGTTTCCTACCTGCTTTACTTACCCGTGGACCTGCTAGACACAAAACAAGCCAAAATTGAGCTGTCAGGTGAAAGCTTGCTGACACTTCCACTGATTGATGGGAGGTGCATTGGGCTGTTTTTTCTCTCCTAGCAGCAAAAATCAGGTGTTGCACTGGCATTCTTTAGCCATGCCCTCCTTGTACATGGTTCTCCTGTTTTGTGTCAAAAAACAAACAAAAACCTCTCAAGCTGCTCAGTTATACCTCTGTCCCCACTTAAAATAGTGATGAACAGCAGCTTTTAAGAGATGTGTGCAGATGTGTAGAAATATTTGCAACAAAAGTGGTTACATTTTTTTTTTCCTTCTTTTCCCCATCTTTTAATTAAAATGACACAGATGCTAATGACAACCTTTACAACAGGAGGGACTTGTCATCGTGACGTGACCCACAATTAGGTGACGGGTTTGGTAAGAATGTACCATGTTTGCTCCATTGTCTCATTGGGTCTGAGATGTGCCTTCCTCTGGTTAATCCATCCTCTCTCGCCTGCTGGGACCTCCCCTGTGACGGCAGGGTGAGCTGTGAACCTCTGCTATGTGCATGCAGCACAAGGAAAATTGGGGAAAAAATTACTAGAAATGGGGCAAATATTCCCTAGCTTCCCTGTGCCTGAGTCTTCCTCCCAAGAGATTTTTAGCAGCCTTGTTTGCAGGGTTAATTTGTTCCTTGTCACTTGCTGTGAGTCGTTGCTGCAGCCGCCATGGGATTGCTGCAGATCGGAGGGATGGAGATGCCCTAGGGTGAGATCAAGGCAGCACCCACATGCTCTACTTTGCAAGTGATGGAGCTGTAACTCTTTTCTAGTCAGCTGGTAATAGGGTGTCTTGGTTTTGGACTCACACCACCTCTGCTGTGAGCAAACAGCTAAACTTAAAAGCCGTCAGTATAGCTGTGTCCTAATGCCTGTTCATACCTTGAGAAGGCTCTTGAGGATGCCACACTAGACAATCCACTGGGATAAAGCTACGAGCACGGCTGTGAGACCTGGTTGCCTCCCCCAGTAGCCATCTCCTTCTATTGGCATTTCAGAGTTTGCTTGTGCCAAGGACTCGGTTATGCAAAGGAGCAAGGGCTGGCGGGAAGAGATTTCAGCGGGCTACTTACCCTATACAAATAACAAGTTATGTTAATGGTATTGCTAGGGGACAGGCTCTGAAGGTCATTTCACACGTGTTCTTGAGCCTATAGATGATGAACAGATTGCATATGGAAATACTTTCCTTTTTTTCAGTCTCTCTTTGTCTATCCTTCCTCACATTCCTGTAAACTTAGTAGAGAAGAGAAATTCAGTTTTTCCTTTCAAACACATCTGAGAAAGATCTCTTCAGTATATACATGTATATTTGAGAGACAGGGAGGGTATGACAGCTTGTCAAATGCAACAAATGTTATTCAACAGTTTAATCCTGGCCATCATATGATCGGTTCTGCCAACTCTCATGATTTCTGGTCCTGCTATAGATGTTTTTTAGCCCATAAATCCTCAGCACCAGAAATCATGTGAGAACCTCAGCTGTCGTAAAACCCAGGAATGCAAGGCCTGAAAATGTGCAACTATAGTAATTAAAAACATTAATAATAAGAAGAAAATAAGTAGCAAGAACACAGCATTTACGGAGTATTAAAACTGGTTTCTTGTTAAACCAAATGCCTGATTTTGGAACTTGAGGGCCATGGTGGGACAGCCCTTAAGTGCTTTGAATGTGTTTACTTGGACTGTGGAATTAGAGATCAAAGTCTCAGCAGAAAACTTGGATCTTGACCTTTTCTGACAAGACAGGAGGTTACAAGGGGAGGTAACTCTGGAGAGCATGAAATATCCCAGAACAGTTTTCACTGGAAAATGAGAAGAGCTTAAGTGAAATACCTGCCCAGTTTGGAGCATGCTAATGAGAAAATGGTTTCTGTACTTCCATCTTGGGAATGACAGCGTTTCAACTACGCCAACATCGCAAGGGCTCTCATTTTTGGGTATTGTCTGTACATGCTCAAAGCTTACTGTGGCACCAGCCCTTTCCGCTCAGGTCCTTTGGGTTTGCTGTTTGCCGAAAAGGAGGACTTGAAAACAAAGTTCTTCCAACTGTTTTTGAGATTCTTTTTGCAAAAGGGTAAAATTTCTCCTTCTAGAAAACACAAACCTGATGTGACTTCCTTGCATAAACAGCCAGAACAATTAAGGCCAGTTGCTTAATCATTACTCAAAGATTCCACATTGTTACTCAAATAATGTCCTTATTTGATGTTAATTCACTCTTGTTATGGGTTATTTGTAATGTCTTGCCTCCCAGAGACCTTACTGGCAACAAGGGTGGCCACTGTCCCACCACCCCTGTGGGAAGCCTGGTAGCCTTCGTCCAGGTGGCTGTGCATCCGTCTGGAATGAGGTAGAGGCATCCATGCTCTCCCATCTCCGGGAAGGGCACATGTGGTGCACATCTGGATGCCTGGAGGTTTAGGGCCCCTCGCTCCTGTGATTCCGGTGCTTTTGCACCCTGAAGCTGGGCTGTACTTCCGCTGTCATCTTCAGTGGTGAGATGCCGTGGTTCTCAGCTGTTTGGGATGATGATTTCCAACCAAAACAATACTAAGATGGCTCTAAATCCTTCCTTGATCCTGGAGGAGTTATTTTGCCCCTAGAAAGCTGCTGTCTGAGGCTCTTTAACTGGAATGGGGATTGACACACCCAATTTTTTGTTTTGGGAGTGTCCACAAGGCACAGAGAAGCGAAGCTCTGGCTCAGTCCTGCCATCTACTGGCTTTTGACAGATCTGGCAGAGATGCTTTGAAGCCCAGATCTCACAAATCAAAGAGGAACCGTTAAAACATGAAATCACGAGTAGGGAGCCAAGGGCGAGCTACATTTAACCAGATAATTGCATGCAAAGCAGAGAGTCAGAGGCAGCAGAGACAGATTGAATGTCTTAATTTATCCAGCTTTGTTCTGATAGTGTAAATTGAGAAACCAAAGGCTTAACAGGCTTCCCAGGTTCAACATTTTCTGAGGGAACACCTTTTTCCAGCCCAAACCCTACTGTCTCATCAAAACTGAAACACGTCGTGAAAATATAATAAGGTCACAAAGTGTTGGAGAAAAAACATTGACGCATTTTATTTCAGCTTTGCTGGATGATCTCATCTAACTGAGACGGTTACACTGAAATGTTGATTTTGCTAATACATATATGTGAGATTTGTAATTGTGTATTACTTCTATTGTAACAGAATAAGCAGAATAAAGAAACATCGTTTCCTTTAAATATATTAACCTAAGTATAAATGTAGTGTATGTTACATATTGTTTCTTATACTCTAATAAAAATATATGGAATTAATAAAAAAGGTACACTTGGAACAAAGCTTTTGGATGATTCTGCAGATTACAGATGTTACCTCTTGCTTTGTGTGAAAAGAAAGTATTTGGGTTGGATTCAAAGCCCAGGGTTGGAGGTAGCAGATTGGTCAAAAGGAGGAAAAACATGAGATTGAGCTTATAGACTATAGAGAGGGATAAATCCATACATGCCCTCTCAAGTCCGGCGGAGTCTCTTCCTGGTGATGGATAAAGATGGATAAAGAACAGGGATTGTCTTTGCCTTCAATAGCCATAGTCATAGATATCATTGACTTGCCCATGACCCTACTGGGAATGGAGATGGGGTTTGTCCTTTGAGCCTATGCTCGCTCTTAGTGGGGAGCACGGCTATTTTTGG